AAAAAAAGAGAGAGACTTAGGTTAATTGAAAAGAACCTTCGGGTAGTTATATTTCAATAAAAAAGGACAGTAAAAAAGAGAGACTTAGGTTAATCAAGAAGAAGAACCTTCTGGTAAAATCAGCAACTAATACTGAGCACTTACTTGGTGCCGTGGGGGTAAGAAATCAAAGCTCTTGTCAGTTCCCTCAGGGAGCAGAAGGGAGAGACCAACAATGAGCACACAGGGAGCCCTAGGAAGAAGGCCGGATGCAGTATTTCATCAAGTCTAGACTGTAGGCTTCAGAGATGAGTAGTCGGTGGGCCCTGGGGAGGCGATGGGGTAGGGAAGCAGACAAGGTCACCAGAAAGGCTTGAGAGGATCTGCAGCACAGATCAAGGCTATTAAAGTCAGCTTTGTTGGAGGCAGCTGAAGTGATTTCAAGCTTTTTCTTCCATTGTGATCCCCCTGCTAGAAACATATTTTACTTCATCACCCAGTACTTACATACGTATAACAAACGAAAGTTTTCATAAAACATTTCACCCTACTGGATGGTATACGTCTGATTCTCCCTCCTTCCCTCTTTCCCTTCTTTCCCTCCTTCTCTCCTTGCCTCTTTTCTTCCCTCCCTCCTCTTTCTTTAAATGTTGGGTATAACCCATGAATGAGTTGAAAATACTGTTCTGAGGGCCCAGAAGCCCAGTAGGGAGGCACAGCCAAGCCTGTCCTGTGAAGGGAGCAATACTTGGAGGAAAGAGTTTCATGGGAAATGGTGGCACGTGACATCATTAATGTGATGGGAATCTCTGGAAGTCCTGTATGATTTTGGAGTAGGAATAACGTACTTTGGGATGTGTGGCCAAATGTCAAACCACCTGTTCTCCTGACCCAGCCCTACCTTTGGACAGTTGATTGAACAAATGATTAATATATTCTCAATATTTGATTTCAGTTTATTACTACTCAGCTGGGGAATTCAGGTGATGGAGAAAATTTGCTTCTGGGTTCTTAAGAGCAGTGGCATTTAGACAACACATCTGTTTTGTCTCATCTTGTGATTGGCTATGCATGTTTGGTATAGAATAAAGCACCAGATAGACTGGTTATACAAAAGCTATAGGGAGCTCTGGTAGCATAGTGGCTAAGACACTTGCCTGCTAACCAGACGGCTGGCGGTTCAAACCCACCAGCCACTCCTCGGAAGGAAGGTTGGGCAATTCTACTTCCATAGTGATACTGCCTCGGAAACCCAAGGAGGGGTCGCTATGAGTCAGGTTTGACTCGACGGCACATAACAACAACAAATAGGGAAAGCCAGGAGCTCTGGTAGCGTAGTGCCTAAGGCACGTGACTGCTAACCAGAAGGCTGGTGGTTCAAACCTACCAGCCACTCCTCAGAAGGAAGGTGGGGCAATCTACTTCCGTAGTGATACCACCTTGGAAACCCAAGGAGGGGTCGCTATAAGTCAGGTCCGACTCGATGGCACATAACAACAACAACATAGGGAAAGCCTCTCTGGTCAGGTTCAGAAGAGGAAGGTAATGGATTTGAAAGCTCTGCTTCTTGAAGGGGTCTACAACGACTAGTTGTGCATGTTGTCATTGCCATTGAGTTGATTCCTACTCATGGCAACTCCCTGTGTACAGAGTAGAACAGCTCCATAGGGTTTTCAAGGTTGTGACCTTTTGGAAGCACATCATTAGGTCTGTCTTCCTAGGTGCCTCTGGGTGGGTTTGAGCTGCCAACCTTTTGGCAGATAGTCAAGTGCTTTACCGTTTACACCTGTAAGGATGCCTAGTTGTGTACATCAGAGCTTACTACAGATATAAACAGTATCCTCCTCCAGGACCAGAGATCAGCTCCCTGCTAGTTCTGGTCAACCCTTCCATGGCTTCCCCTTGGGAAGACCCACCGCTTGGAATCTGGAGTCCTGAATCAGAGGTCCAACTGAGAGTCTTTAGTTTCTACCCTTAGCATCCTTCTGAGAATTTTAAGAGTAAAATTATCACCTCCTTTCCCAGTTGTTGTTGTTGTTGTTGTTATGGGTGTTGGCCTCCGTTGCCCTCAGCCGATCGAAAGGGAGTCGGGTTCAGATCCCCGAATCCGGAGTGGTGGAGACGGGCGCTGTGAGGCATCCAGTGCGGTAACGCAACCAATCACGGAGAAGCCGGCGGGAGCCCCGGGGAGAGTTCTCTTTTCTTTGTGAAGGGCAGGGCGCCCTGGAATGGGTTTGCCCCAAGAGAGGGGCCCGTGCCTTGGGGAAAAAAAAAAAGTCTATATTTTACCCCAGTTTATCCCTGGTGGTTCAAATAGTCAACACGCTTAGCTGCTAACTGAAAAGGTGAAGGTTCGAGTCTAGCCAGAACCACGTTGGAAGGAAGGCTTGATGATATAATTTGAAAAAATCAGCCACTAAAAAACCGTTCCATTCTGGCATCCATGGGGTCACTGTGAGTCAGGATTGCCTCCATGGCAACTGGTTTCTACTTCAGGCTTGTCCTGCCTTCCCAAGTGTGCACAGTGCCCATCCTTTCCCACTTCTTGATACTTACCTTGTACCCTCCTGCAGCACATACCTGTTGAATGGTGCTGCAGATTATCTATTCAATATTTGGTGTGCATAGCCTTGCCCTCTTAGTCTCATCTGTGCCAACAGAAAAGTCACTCCTGTTCTGCACTGAGGAAAGACTTACACAAAAGAACTTTAGACCTCAAGAGCTGTACCACTGACTTTGTCCTCCATAGCACGGGGGAGGGAGGATCATTCTTGCTATGTGGTATAGAAATTGAACTCCTAAAGATCTGCGTGTAACTCATTTGAGGGAACCCCTACAATCGGATTTTTCTCTACTCAAGAGTTGGTGCTTAGCGGCACTGAGAGAAAAACCCTTTCATGTGACCTTTCTGTTCAAGCACTTTAAGTCATGTCCTCAGAGATTTACTATCCTTTTGATCTTCTCAATCCAATTTTAATTTGGTCAGTTTAGGTCAGGGAGGTATCTTAAAAGATTTAAGAGTTTTGCCTTTTAGGATAATGTAGGTAGGAATCATTGGTATTAAATGTACTTCAGTCAACTTAATTCTTAGCAAAGTTTGGCATGAAGAATTTTATAGATTAAACTACTTGAGCTTTAGAGAAATTTCACAATAGTTATCCAGCCTGAAGACTCAGAACCCTGAGGCACAGGTTATGGGTGACATAGCATACACTTGTTAGGCTAGAGTTCTAGACTTCAGAAACATGCCAACAAGAGAAAGGAGCCTGGTAGTGCAGTTGCTGATGGCTTGGCTACAAGCCAAAAGGTCAGCAATTTGAATCCAGCAGCCACTCAGCAGGAGAAAGATGTGGCAGTCCACTTCTCTAAAGATTTACAGCCTTGGAAACCCCGTGGGGCACTTCTACTATGTCCTATAGAGCCACTACGAGTTGGAATCAACTTGACTGGCAACAAGTTTTTTTTTAAGGGCCAAGCTACTGATTTTCTTCCTCTGCCCTGAGTCCTGAGAAATGGGTATGGCCCAGTCTTGAATCTCTCAGAAATACAAATTTCTCCCTTACACCCTGGACACATTTGTTGTGAGCCTTGATGGCCTGTGGGCTTTGTCAGGCCTTGTGGCCTCTGGGCTGGGGCTGGACGGGTGATTGAGACTTTTGGTAGATTGAGAATACCCCTGACCTCCTACAAGACTGTAATCTAGTCAAAGTCCTTCATTTTACCTTTTAAATCTCTAGTATCTCCTCTGTCTGCTACTCTTTAGTGGCTCACAATAAAGGCTTTAACAAGAAATACCTGGGGTTCTTGTCTTCGGGGGTCACAAGGAAGAGCACAGGTGGGAGACTCCTCTGTGGAAAGCTTTGGGGAGGGAGGTGGAGACTCTCCCAGGAGGTGGGGTCCAGAGTTGAAGGGGCCAGGAAGTAAGCTTGGTCTTAGAGGTCTGCTGCAAGGGACGGCTGGTGGGCTTTGATGTATTTCAGTGTCTTTCTCCCTCTCCTGCCCCATTAATCATTTGTACTGTGTGCACCACTAGAGGACTCCCTAAAGCACGGATTTCATTCTCATTCCTCTGCTCTAAAACCTTCCATGGCTCCCTGCTGTCCAATTACTCATATAGAGATGGTTGCTTTCCCTTGTAAGAGTAATAACTAGCATTTGTGCACATGAAAGCTTTACCATTACGGCTTTTGCAGAATCATTCTACTGGGCTGAGCTTGGTGGTGGTGGAGGCTCTGCGCAAAGCTGGTTGATGTTTAATAGGCTACTCAGGAACAAGTTTTCTTTCTGGTACGTGTTTTGAGTCAGTACCCTGGATGGACAGCTACTTAAACATCAGTACAAAGAACCAACCAAAAAAAGAAAGGAACTCCAGTGGTATACTGGGTAAGGCATCTGGTTGCTAAGAGAAGGTTGGCAGTTCAAAACCACCAGCTGCTCCATGGGAGGAAGATGAAGCAATCTACTTCCCTAAAGATTTATAGCCTTGGAAACCCACTGGGGGTCATCAGCATACAGCTAAAAAATCAGGGCCCAGCAAGCCGACAGGAAAGAGTAGCAGTAAAAGAAGCTGAAGAATGAATATCTGTAAAACCTCAGGTAACCTTTAGGTGTGAGGCAGTTTAGTTCTGTAACACAGTGGACAGAGTGAGCTATGGACGAGGTCAAAGGGCCAAAGTTCTGAGGTGCCAGCTGTCCAGTTGGGCTAGAAATAAGCTAATATGTAAACTGGACTTAAGGTCTTCTATCTTCCCAACCTCAGGGAACAGAGGTGACTTCATCTCAGAGTTTGGTGACCGGCCACCGTATCATTGAACTGTGGATGTTTTCTTTTGGGAAGCCAGCCTTCTTGGGTATCTCAATGGTGAAGGGGAAGGTATTTTCAAAGTTTTCCACTGAGGGGCAGGTTTTTATTTGGGTGATGGGAGGGTCGGGAGCTGGGTGGAATGAGGTTCTCTGGGCAGTATGTCTGTAGCCGCTGCCATTCATTAGCTCTGTGTCTTCTGTTTCCTCCATAGATCAATGAGTGGAACAAAAATGATGACCGGCTGCTGCAGGCTGTGGAGAATGGAGACACAGAGAAGGTGGCCTCACTGCTGGGCAAGAAAGGGGCCAGTGCCACCAAGCAGGATAGCGAGGGCAAGACTGCGTAAGCTGAAAACCGTTTCTAAATATGCTGGTTCCGGGTTTTCAAAGTGTTCCCAGGAATCTAGTATCCAGAGAAGGATTTCACAAATGCCTTTATGAGGACTTTGTGAAATTACTGGTAGTCCCTGACTTACGACGTATTTGAGTTACAATGAATTGCACTTAAAACTGCCGTGTTTTTTGGTACATTTTATTGTTAGTAATATGTTGCTGTTGTGTTATTGTTGTTGTTAGATGCCATTGAATCAGTTCCAACTCAAAGCGACCCTACGTACAACAGAATAAAACACTGCTCAGTCATCGTCACAGTCATTGCTATGTTTGAGCTCATTGTTGCAGCCGCTATGCTAGTCCATCTTGTTGAGTGTCTTCCTTTTATTCGCTGACCCTCTACTTTACCAAGCATGATGTCCTTCTCCAGGGACTGGTCCCTCCTGATAACATGTCCCAGGTACATGAGGTGAAGTCTCTCTATCCTCGCTTCTAAGGAGCATTCTGGCCATACTTCTTCCAAGACAAATTTGTTTATTCTTCTACCAGTCAATGGTATATTCAGTATTCTTCACCAATGCTGTTAAGTCAAATGCATCAATTCTTCTTCAGTCTTCCTTACTCATTGACTGGTTTTCACATGCACATTAGGCAAATGAAAATACCATGGCTTGGGTCAGGCACACTTTAGCCCTCAAAATGATATTTTTGCTTTTTAATACTTGTCAAGAGGTCTTTTGCAGCAGATTTGCTTAATGCAGTATGTTGTTTCATTTCTTACTGCTGTTTCCATGGGCAATGATTGTGGATCCAAGTAAAATGAAATACTTTGTATTTTTACAGGTACTATGAATTTTGCTTTATAATTTCTCATATGTTGTTGTTGTTAAGTGCCGTTGAGTCGTTTCCGACTCATAGCGACCCCATGCACAGCAGAACGAAACACTGCTCGATCCCGTGCCAGCCCCACAATCCCTGCTATACTTGAGCCCATCATTGCAGCCACTGTGTCAATCCATCTCATTGAAGGCCTCCCCCTCTTTCGTCAACTCTCCACCCTACCAAGCATGACATCCTTCTCCAGGGAATGGTCCCTTCTTACAACATGACCAAAATAAGTGAGATGAAGTCTGGCCATTCTTGCTTCCAAGAAGCATTCTGGCTGCACTTCCTCCAGGACAGATCTGTTAGTTCTTTTAGCAGTCCATATATGGTACTTTATTCCTGCCCACTACAATTTCATATTGCCCATCATATATGTGTGTGTGTGTGTGTGTGTGTGTGTGTGTGTATATGTATGTATGTATGTATGTATATATATCTGTGTGTCTACTCTTAGGAGCCCTGGTGGCACAATGGTTGAGTGACCAGTCACTAAGCAAATGGTCAGTGGTTCAAGCCCAGCCAGCGCCTCCATGGGAGAAAGACCTAGCGATCTGTTTCTATAAAGATTATAGTCTGGGAAACCCTGTGGGCAGTTCCACTCTGTCATCTAGGGTTGCTTTGAGTACGGATCTAACTCAGTGGTGCACAACAAAAAACTACAGTGTTTACTTTGGTCAGACTGTGGAGAAATCGACTTTGGAGCCAGATAGACATCTAATATGGACTCTACTGCTATGAACAAGTTGTGTAATCCTTGAACCTTCATTTCTTCATTTTAAAATGGAGATGCTATTATTTAACATAATGATAGTGATGAGTATGGAACAAGATGCTGACGTAGATTGTTTGCCCCTAGAAGCAGGCTCTGAGACAAGGACTTTTGTGCAAGCCATTTCTACAGCTGATGGTCCCAGAAAGCATAAGAAGGGGAGGAAACCTACTCAGGGTGTGTTGTTGAACCTGTTACTGTTGCAGGAAACTGGGACCCATTCCTGCTGAGGACTTCTGGTGTCTTTTTTGACTTAGAACAGAGGGTCTGCAAATTATGGCCTGCTGCTTGTTTGATTGGAGCCCAGCCACACTCGTTCATTTTGTGCTTCCACACTACAAAGGTATGGTTGAGAAGTCACAGCAAGGACAGTAAGGGCCCCCAAAGCCTGAAATATTTATCATCTGGCCCTTTACAGAAAAAGTTTTCTGACTCCAGGCTTTGGAGTATGCCTCAATGTTGTCTCACCCAAGGCTCGGGCAACTAGGGTATTTATCCCAGAAGTCTCTGTTCCTCAAAGGAGTGGGCTAATTCTAGCACCATAATGCCCATGGCCAAAGTCTTAAATGGTTGGTAAGCTCTTAGGATATGGGAAAGGCACCAGTAGCACAGATATTCTATGTAAGCAGAGTATCCAGACCACAGAGGATGTTTGATAAATCACTTCCCTTTTCTTCTTATCCCAGATTATTGATTCCCAATCCAGCAGCTCCTGCATTAGAATCACCTAATGTCCCACTTCACCCCAGAGTCACTTGGTCTGGAGAGTAGCCCAAGATTATGTACATTCAGCCAGAAAGAACCATCACCTAGGATTTAGACTGATTCTAGAGTGATGAATTGGGACTAAGGATAAAAGTCAATTGTCAGAAGATTTGATGGTGGCATTTTAGTTTCTCCAAGACTTAAGGTTCAAAATGACACCCAAAAGCGAATGGCCTGGGTAGGCCACCCCAACTCCATGGACCCAGAAATCTAGATTCCTAGAGAATTAAAATGGTTTCTCACTGATGACTGTAAGAATTTGACTACTAAAGGCACTGTGGATTTAAACCTTTCTGTTAAGCATTATATTTTCATTCGAACAAATATTCTTTGTACAGGTATACCTCATTTTATGCACTTCACAGATACTGCATTTTATACAACGTGAAAGATGGTGGCAACCAACCCTGCGTCAGGCAAGTGTATTGGTGCCATTTTTCCATAGCATGTGCTCATTTTATGTCTCTGTGTCCCGTTTTGGTAATCTCCTAATTTTAAACTTTTGCACAATGCAACTGCACACTTAATAGTTTACAGAATAGTGTAAACATACCTTTTATATGCATTGAGAAATCAAAAACTTCATGCGACTCACTTTATTGCGATGTTTGCTTTATTACAATGGTCAGGAACTGAGTCCTGGATCTCTCCAAGTTATGCCTGTATTCAGAATGACTTTGGCTGTGGAGCTGGGCACAATCTCCTAATCCTTCAGTATTATGTAATCGTGTCAGGTCTAAGGTTCTCTTGTAACCCAAGCAGTATGGTTCCCTGGCTTTAGCCTTCTGGCCTCTGGAAGCCTGTAGTTTCTTATTTGGGTTTAGTTTAATCTGTGGATTCCTACCTGAGGGCAAAAATGTCTTCCTCACACTTCAAGACTTTTCTTAAATTCAGAAGATTTGTGTTGTTTCTGTTCTTGTGCATTCAGCTTGAGAACAGGTGATCTGGTAAAATCTTAGGAGCAGTTCCCCCCACACCAGACCAAAGCAGCATGTCCCGCCCTACTGGGCTGCTGCTTAGACCAGCCCCACAGAGTCTGCAAAGAGTGGTTTGGTTTGCAGACTATCTGGAATGTTTTGCATTTTCTCTAAGGTACTTGAAAGCACTTGGCCTTCTTCTCTGCCAGCTCTTTAGGGTTTCCATTCAATTTATGCAGCTTTATATCTAATTTAGGCTGGAGGCCTACTTTCTGGTCAGCTTTTGTGATAAGCCATCTTGCGCTTTAGCTCAGACATCTTTAATGTCTCCCTGTTGCCTGTCGGTCTGGAGTCCTGATTTTGGCTGTTGAGGTCCTTCCTCTGACCCTGCCCCTACTTACCTAAGTGTCTTTCATTGTCCTGCTCTGAAGCATAAGCCTGCAGCTGCAGCCAAGACCATCTGCTCTCTATCCTCCCCTCCTGTGAGAGCTTCCACTCGTTTGCCCAGGGTCTCTGTCCAGTCCAGAATGATATTCTCCAGATAGTCTCAGGCCTCTTTTGATTTTTATTCTCTTCAAAATACTAGAATACTGACTTAGAACTTGATCTAGTATTTTATTATATTTTCTCTTTGTTTTCTGAAAGATTTGAATCCCCTCAGCTCCCTGAGGACAAACCAAACCAAACCAAACCTATTGCCACAGAGTCAGTTCCTACTTATAGCCACCCTATAGGAACGGAGTGGAACTTCCCCATAGGGTTTCCAAGGCTGTAATCTTTATGGAAGCAGACTGCCATGTCTTGCTCCCACTGAGTGGCTGGTGTGTTCGAACTGCTGACTTTTTGGTTAGCAGCCAAGTGCTTAACCCTTGTACCATCAGGGTTCTCTTCCTATGGATCAGGAAAAAAAAAAAAAAAAAACAAACTCACTGCCGTGGAGTCAGATCAGACTCATAGTGACCCCTTCCTCCTTGGGTTTCCAAGGCAGTATCACTATGGAAGTAGATTGCAGGATCATATAATTTATTTCTTTTTATATTTCCCATTCTCCCAAGCTCAGTTGTTGTTGGCTGTCATGGAGTTGACCCCCTTGCACAGTGGAATGAAATGCTACCCATTCCTGTGTCATCCCCATGATTAGGGGAAGATCAGACCCTTGTAATCCTCAGGGGTTTCACTGGCTCATTTTCAGAAGGAGATCACCAGGTCCTCCTTCCTAGTCCGGAAGCTCTGCTGGAACTGGCTCATATCATTGCAGTACAGATGGGTAGTGACTGGGCAGGAGGTGAACTGGCCAGAATCAAACCCAGGTCTCCCTGAACCACCAGTGTACCCATTCCAAGCACAATAAACATGAACTAAACCAAACCCACTGCTATCAGTCCATTCTGACTCATTGTGATGCTGTAGGACACAGTAGAACTGCCCTGTGGGGTTTCCAAGGGTGTAAATCTTAACAGAAGCACACTGCCACATCTTTCTCCCCTGGAGCAGCTGGTGGTGGGTTCAAATTGCTGAACTTTAGTTAGCAGCTGAGCACTTAAGCATTATCTCACCAGGGTTCCTTCTAAGCACAAGAGAGACACTCAGTCAATATTTATGGATGTGACTTTTCAGCATGGTTCTTATAGAAAACACATTCTTTTTGCTGACAATAGTACCTCATGGATAAGT